GCATTTTAAAACTCAAGCATTTTGAAGTGAAATTTAGCACCTAAAAATAGCTACCTTGAGAGTCTTAGCCTTTATCGGTTCAATTTCAATAGATTTTTTAAAAATAGCAAATGATTTTTATAAATAATTTCTTCACACACAGCTTAGTTTTTATATTTAACACAAGCTCAATAATGACCTGCATTCAAAATGAGGTTGAGACAAGTTTTACAGATGCCCTTAGGGGATGGAAACCTACTATTTCTGCCTTTTCCATCATACCTCATAACCACTTTGCAGTATAACAAGAAGACCTGCATATCATCATTTTAACCACTTGGTTATTACATAATAATGTAATAATATATTAATCTTTCGTATATGTGCCTATTGCACAAAAGCACTATCTCAGAAAATAAAAAATAAAAAACGCCAGCCACTCGGCTTCCCTGGGTGCTGTCCATCCCGCAAGGTGCTGATGTGCTTGCTCCTACCATATGGCATTTCACTCCTCTTGGCACCTTGGTTTCTGTTTCTCCAGCCTCACCCATGTCCTAACTCAGAATTCAAATAAGGAAGTCTCTCCAAGTTCAGCTTGTCATGTGAGGCACCACACACCTAATAAGGAGCTGCATTTTCACCAGCTTAGAGGCACTGCTGCTATTGATAGTAACAATAGACTAGCATCTTTGCAAGCAAAGATGGACCTGCGTGCCTCTGTTGCAAAGGCTACTGGCCGTGCACAAATCTCAGTGGTATCTGAGACTGCGCACCTCCAAGCACACTGGTCCACACAATCTTCAGCTCCTGCCATCCAGAGAGGTCCAAGAAAAGAGGAATGACAACTGAAGGGAGCGCCTGGTTCTCCTTTGACAAGTGTGTACTAAAGAATTCTAAGTATCATAAGTGCTATTAGATACTACCCCTAACTTAGGGACATTATGGCCTAACTTAGACAAAAAATTAAAATTCTCAAAAAAAAAAAAATGGAAAGGAGAATAGGATTCTAGGCTTTGAAGTTAGACATACAGGGTTTCCCTGGAACCAAGAGGGCTCCCAAGATATGGCAATTTCTGTTTTAAAACCAGAACAGAACCAGGGATACCAGAACAAGTTGGTCACTCCACAGACAAATGAAAGTTGAAGTTTAATTAGTTTTGAGATCTTGAACAAATAAAATAACCTCTCAAAGACTCAGCTTCCTCATTTGTAAAATGGGTATCAGAGTAGTACCTATTATATCACATATTTCTTCTAAGAATTCAATAAGCTATTGTATAAAAAGAACTAAGCACAATGCCTAGCATTTAATAATTGACCAACAAGTATTAATTCTGTATATATAATCAATAATACAAGATACCTTGTAATGAAAGACTGAATTAGTTGTTTGTAGAACTAAAAAAAATGAGATCAGAGATAACTGGATTGGGGAATTTCCTGGCAATTCAGTGGTTGAGATGTCATGCTTTCACTGCCAAGGGCCTGGGTTCAATCCCTGGTCAGGGAACTAGGATCCCATAGGTCACACAGAATAACCCTACAAAAAAGATAATTGGATCATGTAACAAGAAGTTTCCATAGTGGTAGAGTGAGCAAATAAAACATAGGTTGCCCAGTTCAATTTGAATTTCAGATAAACAAGTAATTTTTTCAATGTAAGTATGTACTATACTTTAAAAAAAATATTTGTTATTTATCAGAAATTCAAATTTAACTGGATATCTGGATATTTTATTTGCTTGAAATGGCAACCCTAGATAGAGGAGGTAGAATTCAAATTGTTCTTTAAAGGAAGAAGGAAGAAAAAATGCCAGGTAGAGGGATACACATGAGCAGCAGTGGACCAAAGACAGGAGCAATGCATGGGTCTTTTAAGTTTTTGGAGCAAACACCTTGGATCCAGATTAAAAAGCCTAGATTTGATGCAGAATATATGGGAGAGTTAGAGGTAAGGTGCTAGAGTCTGGGGATAATGTGGGAATCAAAATGAAGAGATGCTTCAGAGAAAGAATGAATAAGACTTTATGAAGGAAAAGAATGGATTCAATATTTTGAACCTGAGTCACTATGAGAGGAACTATGTAGCCAAGGAGGTCAAGTATGTGGCCACCTTTATAGTCTGGTAGGTAGTCTGAACTCAGCTGCTGGTAACAGGAATAGAGGGGTGGGAAGAGTTGGATGCAGAGAGATATTATGAAGGAAGACAATGTCTGTGGAGAAATTATTAACTAAAATTCTGAATGTGAATGTGTACTTTCACTGTGCAAAAATTTTTTTAATCCCTGCAGGGTCACTATTGGTGACCTGAATAAGCAGCCTCTTGAGGTAAGTTAACTCAGACCAAGAAGAAAAAAAAAACAAAACAAAACTGTATTTAAAGTCCTATCTACTCTTCTCTTAGTAGTAAGAAGAGATTAAAGCTATGGGTTTCATGCTTTTCCCTCCTGGCTTTCCCCGACTCTTCAGAGACCCCACAGAGGCCTCTGTCTGCCAGAAATGACAGAGACCTTCAAAGACAGCGAGTTCAATGCAACCAGGCAGTGGGGCCTAGGGAACTCAGGGCAACTTCCCAGGGGGTCTTGTGTCACTATTTTTGACCTCTCAAGCAAGTTACTTTCTTCCTGATGTGTATACATGAAATTCTACTCTTGTACCAAGTGAAAAAGCTACAGACCCTTTTGGTAGCTTTTGCCCAGGACGGTGTTTCTCTTTAGAAACACTCCCTGGAATGAGCCTGTGATTCTGACTCAGGGAAGCAAAGGGTTCAAAATATCTGCCCTAAGGTATATGTGAAAATCAAATCCCAATGATCCTAAAAGAACCAAACCCTAAAATCTACGAGAACTCCTAAAATCTACGAGAACTCCTAAAACCCACCAAATTCTGGCAAGACTGGAATATCTGGAAATCTCATTCATTTCCGGTGGGACTGAAAAATGGTACAACCACTTTGAAACAGTTGGGCAGCTTCTTACAAAGCTAAGCATAGTCTTACCAAATGATACAGCAGTCTCACTCCAAGGTGTACACTCAAGTGATTTGAAAACATACGTCCATACAAAACATGCACATAAATGCTTATAGCAGCTTTATTCATAAAAAAATTGGAAACAACTAAGACATCCTTAAATAAGTGAATGGATAAACAAATTGTGATACAATGGAATATTATTGGTACAATGGAATATTATTTGGCAATAAAATGTAGTGAGCTACCAAGCCACAAAAAGACTTGGGGGAATCTTAAATGTATATTGTTAAGTGAAAAAAGCTAGTCCGAAAAAGTGACATATATGATTTCAACTGTATGACATACTGTAAAAGGCAAAACTGGAGACAGTAAAAAGATCATTGGTTGCCAGAGGCTGGGGAAGGAGGGAGGAAAGGACAAATAGATGAGGCATGGAGATTTTTAAGAGCAGTGAGATTATTTTTTATGATATTATAATGGTGAAGACACATTATGCATTTGTCAAAACTCATAGACTGTACAACACAAAGAATTAACTCTAATGTAAACTATGGACATGGAACAACAGACTGATTCCAAACAGGGAAAGGAGTACGTCAAGGCTGTATACTGTCACCCTGTTTATTTAACTTATATGCAGAGTACATCATGAGAAACGCTGGGCTGGAGGAAGCACAAGCTCGAATCAAGATTGCCGGGAGAAATATCAGTAACCTCAGATATGCAGATGACACCACCCTTATGGCAGAAAGTGGAGAAGAACTAAAAAGCCTCTTGATGAAAGTGAAAGAGGAGAGTGAAAAAGTTGGCTTAAAGCTCAACATTCAGAAAACTAAGATCATGGCATCTGGTCCCATCACTTCATGGCAAATAGATGGGGAAACAGTGGAAACAGTGTCTGACTTTATTTTTCTGGGCTCCAAAATCACTGCAGATGGTGATTGCAGCCATGAAATTAAAAGATGCTTACTCCTTGGAAGGAAAGTTATGACCAACCTAGGCAGCATATTAAAAAGCAGAGACATCACTTTGTCAGCAAAGATCTGTCTAGTCAAGGCTATGGTTTTTCCAGTGGTCATGTATGGATGTGAGAGTTGGACTATAAAGAAAGCTGAGCGCCAAAGAATTGATACTTTTGAACTGTGGTGTTGGAGAAGACTCTTGAGAGTCCCTTGGACTGCAAGGAGATCCAACCAGTCCATCCTAAAGGAGATCAGTCCTGAGTGTTCATTGGAAGGACTGATGTTGAAGCTGAAAGTCCAATACTTGTGGCCACCTGATGTGAAGAGTTGACTCATTGGAAAAGACCCTGATGCTGGGAAAGATCATGGGCAGGAAGGGGAAGACAGAGGACGAGATGGTTGGATGGCATCACCGACTCAATGGACATGGGTTTGGGTGGACTCTGGGAGTTGGTGATGGACAGGGAGGCCTGGCGTGCTGCACGCGGTTCATGGGGTTGCAAAGAGTCAGACACAACTGAACAACTGAACTGATACTGATACTCATAAACTATGGACTTTAATTAAAAATAATGCATTAATATTGGCTTGTCAGTTATAAAAAGGGAATAAAAGGTGGATTTTGAAGGTTTTTACTCCATTCAGGTTTTTAGCACTGAACTGACATTTTGACCTTTTGATGCAGTTATAAAAGATGCATTTCTGTAAAACATGTCTAAATTGCCTCGTAGTATATATCCAACCACTGAAACCCCTGTTCATTTGTCTGAAATAGTAGTATGTGGGGCTGCCCAATGATTAGGATTCCACGCTTCCATTGCAGGGGGCATGGGTTCGACCCCTGCTCTGGGAATTAGGACAGAGGAATCTGTCGTGCTACCATCCATGAGGTCGCAAAGAGTTGGAGATGACCTAGCAACTGAACAACAAAGCCATGAGGTGTGGCCAAAAATAAGTAAATTAATTTAAATTAGAAAATTAAATAATAGTGTGCTCTGTCCAGGACACTCACCTGTGCTTTACCAGAAATGAGATTTCAAGAGAGTCATAGGTGGGCACAAGATTCATTTCATGATGAAACTTACCCAAATCATGTCACGATCTTCTCAACGTCACCCAGAAAAAAATTTTCAATTTCTCATGGGGCTTCCTCAACAAGAGCACAAATTGTTTAGAGTGTTGGTTGGGAGTGTATGGAAATAGGTGTTTTCATAATGGGCTCCCCTGGGCCCATATGCAGATTCCAATTGGAGAAAGCCTGGGTGGTGGTGGCAGGCTTTGATTTGCCTCCCTGGGGTGGAGTCCTCCTTTGAGTACTGTCAGCTTGCTTCCCTACAGGCAGCAAATACACAATAATGACATTGCCTGTGGTGCTACGGATACCAGATTTAAAGGGCCAGAGGCCATCAGCTATAACCCTTACCCTACCACTGAAGGTCCAGCAGCAATGGCAGAGGAGGGAGGCCTAGGAAACAGAGGCGACTCTCCCAAAGCTTTGGAGATGGGAGAATTGATACCCTGACTCTTTCTTCTCCCTGTCTCCAAGTTCCTGCCCATATCCCTCAGAGGCAGGAGGCCTAAGGCCCTGTCCCACCCACCCCCAAGCCCCCCAACCCCGCCTCAGCACTGAGTCTTGGCAGTGGGTCTAGAAGATATAGTCAAGAAGATATTCACAGCAACCTGCAATTGCATACTTCCTGCTTTTAGAATCCTAGGATTACAATCTGGACTGAATCTCTACAGAACTTCAGAAAATGTACTTATTCCACCAACAAGGATCAGCTCTGCTTTCTAATATAAAGGGAACATTTTGAACAGAAATTTGGAAGGATTTCATCATGATTTCTGATGATAAGACACTGTGTGGACCTTCTGTGCTGTGGCCACAGATGAGGTAATAACTTGGAAGCGCAGCCCATAATGATTCTGTGATCTGTTCTTGAGACTTTACTGACACCTGGCTGCCTGGAATTATTGGAGCCAGTACAAATTTCACAGTCACTGACTTGAGTGTGCAAAAGCGTAATTTTCTCTATTCTCCTATAACTGAGTGTAATCTCTGCCTTGAGTCTCCATTCTGCCTCAAAGCAGATAAAATTTAATCTGGTTACCCTCAGATAAATTCGTTTGAATTCAGCCATTCCATAGTCAATTCAAGTTTATAACTGAGTCAAAATTAGGTTGAAAATATCCTCTCTTTTATCCTCGCTGCCCCCTTCTCTTCCCTGATCTCAGCTCCCTCGGAGCCTGCTTCTTACTCTTATTCTGTGTGTCTGGCTCTGGCTGCAGCAGATGACACGAGCTCCTTTGGATAGTTTGTAGGACACTGCTGCTGCTGCTCAGAGAAGGCAATGGCACCCCACCCCAGTACTGTTGCCTGGAAAATCCCATGGACGGAGGAGCCTGGGAGGCTGCAGTCCATGGGGTCGGGAAGAGTCAGACAGGACTGAGCAACTTCATTTTCACTTTTCACTTTTATGCATTGGAGAAGGAAATGGCAACCCACTCCAGTGTTCTTGCCTGGAGAATCCCAGGGATGGGGTTGCACAGAGTCGGACACGACTGAAGTGATCGACTCTGTGCGACCCCATAGACAGCAGCCCACCAGGCTGGGGCTCCCATTTAATTCTCTCCATTAAAATGCTTCCCAGGTGGCGCTAGTGGTAAAGAACCTGCCTGCCAGTGTAGGAGACATAAGAGACGCAGGTTCAATCCCCGGGTCGGGAAGATCCCCTGGAGCAGGGCATGGCAACCCACTCTAGTATTCTTGCCTGGAGAATCCCAGGTTTATGTCAGGTATCATCATACCATATGTCAGCCGGTTCACTCCCATTTTTGGGAATTCTTTAAAATATTAAAACCAGTGTCATAAATCTCCATGAGTGGCCATAAGTTACAGTTATCCATCTTGAGCTTGTGTCCGCTGTTAGCTGTTTCAGAGAAAAACTTCTATGTAGTCAAGATATGTCCTCCCGTTTCATGGGAACTCAACTTAAAAAAAAAAAAAAAGCTTCCTAAAAAGAAACGAATCTGCCTGCCAGTGCAGGGGACATGGGTTTGATCCCTGGTCTTGGAAGATTTCACATGTCATGGACAACTAAAGCCCACACGCCACAACTACTGCAGCCCACATGCTGCAACTATTGAAGCTCACTCCACAACAAGAGAAGCCACCGCAATGAGAAGCAGATGCACCTCAGTGAAGGGTAGCCCACACTCCCTGCAACTAGAGAAAGCCCACACACAGCAACAAAGACCCAGTGCAACCAACAATAGGTAGATAATAATAATAAGCAACAAAAAATAAATAAACAAGTAAATAAGCAATAATAAAAGAAAAAGAACACTATAATAATAACTCCCTGAATATAAATTTGTCCAGGTATTTTACAAAGTGTAAAGTTAGCATTTCTAAACATGACAACAAAGATAGAAATTATGAAGAAGAAGACTGATAGAATTGATTATGTGAAATGAAAATTTCTGTGCCCCTCCAAAATGCCATAAACAAAATTAAAAGGAAAAGAGAAAACTTTTAAAAAATTACTGGCAATGTGACAACTTATATGATCAGTCAAAATGTTAACATGGCCAACAAAATATATAATTTTTAAAATATACCAACTCTTTAATAAACTCATAAATACAAATTAAAAATGAGATGCCATTTTTCCTCTTGAAGCTCAGGAGATATTTTTTTAAAGAATAATATCCAGTGCTGGAAAATTTGCAGTAAAGTAGACACATAGTCACACTGCTGCTGAGAATGTTAACTGGTAAAATATTTCTGGAGAATAACTTCACAATTTATACCAAAAACCTTAACAATATTTATATTCATGGGGAGTATATCTCCCTTCTCCCTAAGTGACTGCACAGAATATTTCCGAAGAGTAGAGAGAATTTGAGGGAATAACTCTACAACTGAGTAACCTAACATACACTGCATCAGTCAGGTCAACACCAACATCACAGTCGTCAACATCAAGGTCAACATCAACAGCCATAAATCATGTTGCCAGTACATACTCCTGATATGATGTAATGAAAAAGGCACATTACCTCTGTGATTTTCCTCTCAAAACCCCACAGCTCCTATCTAACCATGAGAAAAACATCAGACAGAACTCAATTGAGGGACATTCTACAATGTGACCAGGACTTCCTAAAACTGTCAAAATCACTAAACACAAGGCAAGTCTGAGAAACTGTTACAGTCAAGGGGAGCCTAAGAAGTTGTGATAACTAAACGTGATATGGTGCTCTGGATGGGATCCTGAAACAGAAAAATGACATCAGGTAAAAACTAAGGAAATCTGAATAAAGTATGGATTTTAGTTATAATCATATGTCCGTGTTGGCTCATTAATTAATAACAACTGTATCACACTAATGTAAGAGACTAATAATAGGGAAAACTGAGTGGTGGGGGGAGGTACATATATGCGAACTCTCTGCTCAGTTTCAAGTAAACTTAAAACTGTTGCAAAAAATAAAGTCAATTTTTAAAAATTTACGTTCTTTGGCTAAGCAATTCCACATCTCAGAATTTATTCTGAGAAAATAATCACAAATGTGAGCATGGATTTATCTACAAGGACATTAAAGGAATACTTCGATAGAAATAACCTATCAATGGTAAGAGTCTGGCAAAAGAAGCTATCATTTCTCTACTCAATGGAATATTGCGTAGTCATTAAAAGTGCTGTAAAGACTATCTGATTATATGAGTATAAATTCATGATACAATAAGAGATAAGCTAGGTTCCAAATTGTAGGTACAGCAGAATCTGCCTTTATTGAAAAGGATAGATAGATAATCACTTTTATTTCCCTTTGAGCTTATCTGTGTTTTCTAAATGTTTACATTTGCATATACTGCTCTTTTGTTGTGGTAAAATGCACATAAAACAATATTTGTCATTTTGACCTCTTTAAAGTGTACTATTCAGGCATTCAGTACCTTCACAATGTTAATGCAACCATCACTAAGTTCTAGTTCCTGAAGCTTTTCATCACCACAAAAGGAAACCTTTTACCCCTTAAGCAGTCACTCCCATTCTCCCCTCACCCCAGGCCCTGACAACCATTAATCTGCTTTCTCTTTCTATGGATTTGCCTATTCTGGATATTTCATGTAAATGGAATCAGATATGACCTTTTGTATCTAGCTTCTTTCATTTAGCATGTTTTCAAGGTTTAACATGTTACAATGCTATCAACACTTCACTCTTTTTATGACTGAATAATATTCCATTATATACCACATTTTGCCTATTCCTCCATCAGTTGATGGACAATTCTATTGTTTCCACCTTTATCTATAGTGTTATATTGAATAGTGGTGCTGTGAACATTTGTATACAAGTTTCTATAATAAAAAAATGCCATTCTTAAAAAATAATCTCTCTTTTAGTCTCATCAGGCTGCCATTTCAATATACGATAGATGGGGTGGCTTTAATAACAAATTTATTTTCCCACAGTTCTTAAGACTAGAAGTCCAAGATCCAAAGTTTCAGCTGATTCAGTTTTTAAATATCAAGTATTTTAATTATCACCTGCCTTATTTGTTCTCCAATTATCCTTGGATAATTAATCTCCCTTAAACATTACTATAAATACTTGGCTGTTTGGAGGGAAGCTGTTTTTATGTTAATAATCCTAAATTTATAAAAGCAATGCATTCAAAAAAGCTGTGGGTGACCAGGAATGAAATTTCCCAGATTAGGTTATAAGCAGTGGTTGGTGTTTCATCCCCCAGTCAGCACAGACAAGCCATTCTTATGGATGTAAACATTAAAAAGAGAAAGAGAGAACTGAATCTGCTGTCTGCTCTTCAATCCAAGGGCAATTGCTCAGAAAATATTACAGTATTTAAATATAAGAAAAAATGCACAGAGTAGGCTACGATGTTACAGAAAATACTTGCTTTTCGAACCCTGAGAAATCGTGAGACTGGCTCCTCACCCACATTCCACCATGAATCCACGTCATCACCCGATGTCTTTCCCCAAATGTGCCACATACACAAAACCAAAAATAACAAGAGTAGAGTCTATTTTGAGAAGTTTGTACAACTAGCAGCCAAGATCTTTCCAAGGTACAGGGTACATATGGGTTTTTTTTTTTTGTTTGTTTGTTTGTTTTGCTTATTTTTTTTTCCATTTATTTTTATTAGTTGGAGGCTAATTACTTTACATCATTACAGTAGTTTTTGTCATACATTGAAATGAATTAGCCATGGATTTACATGTATTCCGCATCCCGGTCCCCCATCCCACCTCCCTCTCCACCCGATCCCTCTGGGTCTTCCCAGTGCACCAGGCCCGAGCATTTGTCTCATGCACCCAACCTGGGCTGGTGATCTGTTTCACCCTAGATAATATACATGTTTCCATGCTGTTCTCTTGAAACATCCCACCCTCGCCTTCTCCCAGAGTCCACAAGTCAGTTCTATACATCTGAGTCTCTTTTCCTGTTTTGCATATAGGGCTAAAGACGGTACATATGTTTTAAAGTAAATATACAAGTAAACAACAAGTGTCTTCAAGTCAAGAAATTAGATTCTGCTATTTCCCTACTTGGAATTAACAAACGGTCCCAGAGCTTATCTGGATGTTAACACAATTTTTCCAAGGGTCCTTCTAATAACATGTGAGCAGTGATCTGACAGTTGGGAAGAATCTTGATTAATTCCTCCCCCATGTGCTGTATTCTGACTTCAAAGCCAGGAGCCCTTCCCCTGCACCATCCCTGTGTTATGGGAGGAGAGACTGAGATCTAGAAGTCAAAGGCAATAAGCTAGGGATTTTTATTGGGCTTGGGAAGTGGAAGAAAGCTCAGAAGTGAAGAAAGGAAGAGATCCATTCACCCACTGAATCAAGGACTTTTCAGCACAGAGTATCCTTTACAACCATCTCAGGGACCAACTCCCAGAGACACTAGGCTTGATTTAATCTTTCCTCTCTTCCTGGTGTGAGGTCTTGTCTAATGATAAGGTTAAACTCTATTTTGCGTATGTTCAGTTTCTCAACCTGCTCCTCCCGAAGCATGAGCCATATATAGTATAGTTAATGAAGATATGTGAAGTATTTGCAGCAGAACTTGAAACACTCATGACAATAAATATCATCATCATCATCATCTCAAGGTCACTAAGACTGTTCACCTCTCAGTTTAATTTATGTGCATGAATTGTCTTCACATTAAGTAGTAAAATCTTTTTCTGATTTAAAAAATACTATAATAAATAACTACTGCATGAAGAAGTTGGAAGAGCATGAAAGTATTGTATAATCTGATTGATGTTTGTACTATCTGAGCTGAAATCAGATCAAAAAGTCTGGACCAATTGAGAGGGCTTCTATGTTACAGGGTTTGAGATTGGGGATCGCCTAATGACCACTTGTAAGGAAGGGATGGCAATCAGACTTCTACATTAATGCTCTGAAGGAAAATACTTTGTTTCCTGTTAAGGCCAAACTATTACAGAACCACAGTCTTAAGAACAAGGTTGTTAGAGTCAGAAGGGACCTTGGTGTTAGAGTTAGAACAGACTTTGGAAATCATCTGTGAGATGACTCAAGGATTGTGGCAGCCCAGAGCTGGGCACAGGTGGCTAAGTCCCAACACATCTTTACTAAATCCCTTCACAAGGTATTTTACAGGAAAACCCATATGTTAAGCAGAGAAAAGTGGATGTGGTCAGTTAAGGCTAAAGTGTCTCTTAGACCCCTCATTGGCTCCTGAGGGCAGTTTGAAAATCATCAACACACTTCAACCTGCTGATTTTGAGCTGTCACAGCAGACAGCCTGAAACAGTGGGAACACCCAGAACCTGAGAGTCAGCCAGACCTGAGGTTTAAGTCCAGCTTCACCACTTCATTAAGATGTTTGTCTCTGCCTCGGACACTAGCTTTTCACACAAATCCTATATATCTGGTCACTTTTTTTTCTATCCACCTATGCCACAGGGTAGGTGTGTGGGGTTACATCTATATGCATTTCTATGAAGGACTTCACACTGAGAAACATCTCCCTCAGGAAATTCGTAACCTGTGCTTTCTTTTATTCATATAGACTCATTGCTATTTACCTTTTTGTTAAAGAGGTTGTTGCCTTCACTATAGACATCACTGTCTTTCCTTCAAGTGTGGTAAAACACTATAACATGGAAAATGTCTATAATATGTTTAAGTTAATGCAGATAATACAAAGGCATAATGATTAGCAACTGTGTAAAATATAAGCACAAAAAAAGAGAAGGAAATAATAAAAATTACAAAGTATGTAAATGCAAGCTTTTTTTTTTTTTTTCTGAAATCAACATGTCTTACTTTAAAATATCGCTGGAAATAGAAGTTTACTTTACCAGTTAGAGACTTTAATTGATAGTTGATATGAAGCCGTTTGGGCTTCCCTGGTGGCTCAGCAGTAAAAAAGCCACCTGCAATGCAGGAGGTGTAAGTTCGATCCCTGGGTGGGGAAGAGTCCCTGGAGGAGGGAATGGCAGCCCACTGCAGTATCCTTACCTGGAATATCCCATGGACAGAAGAGCCAGTTCAAAGAGTTGCAAAGACTTAGACCCAACTGAAGCAACTGTGCATGCACACACGCATGAAGCCATTTAACATATTCGGTTTCCTGGCCCCGGCCACCACTCTGGCTGGCAAGAACCCTGGGAAGTGAGCCAGCTGAGGGTTGGAGAACCAGGCATCTGGGCTGAGGGCAGAGGTGGCAGAGTTTGGGACTTCCCGTGGGTCTAGAATTCACACTAAGGGTCATCTGAAGGTCTCTACCCAGAGACAAACTTTAAACCAATGACCACCAACCAAGCCTTCAATCCAAAGGGCCTTGTCAGAGACAGATGATTGGGAAGGGCAACCTGGAGAACTTCTTTGGACTGCAGAGCAAATCCAGAATTGTTTCTCACAGCTTTGCTTAGGTTAGGGTTGCTTCTAACCCTAACCCTGTAGCCTTCCCTCTGGTGGGACCCATCTGGTTTCTTTTCACTCAGCATACTAATTTTTAAGTTTATATTGTTACATATTCGATAGTTTGTTCCTTTTATTGTTGGCAGATATTCCAATGCCGAATTTATGTATTTCCCTATTAACAGACAGTTGGATAGTTTCCAATTTGAGGCTATTGTTAATAAAGCTAATAGGAATATTCTTGTACCATTCTCTTTTGTGGACCTTGGCATTCAACACTCTTGCATAAATCCTTAGGAATAGAAAAGATGGGTCAGGAGGTGGATGTATGCTTAACTGCTTTCCAAAGTAATTGGGTCATTTTACATTCCCACTCAAAGCAATTCTCCCTTTTTTTAATTTGAAGCTACACGAATTTGAAAAGGAATAAAAACAAAAGTGAGTCTTATTGAAAAATGAGAGGCAGTGAAGAAAGCACTTCCTAAATTATTTGGAATAGTCAAGAAAACCTGTCTATAAGGCACAAAGCTATTTGACAGCTGATCCTCCGGGCAAATGCTTTTATTTTGATCATTGGTTTGGAAATAATTTTAGCCACTTAGATCAAAAGTTTTCACAAAGATGATTCAAGCAAAAGCCCAAGAGGAGAACTTATATAAAGAACCCTTCAGATGAGCGTGGCACTGTGTTAAATGCAAGAGAGAGAACTCTTCCCACTTGGCATGCTTGTTTACTGGGCCAGCCATGGCTCTGACAAATGAAACAACATTTTGATGCCTAACACAGTTCGCCCCCAGGCACTGAGTCAGCTTTGTGTTTCCCATGAGCTTTGCTTCAAATAAACAGATCGGAGAACTTTATTAATTATGCACTCTGGGGCATAGGGCTGTGATAGACACCACGCTCTGCACACAGCCTGGTAGCCAGTCTTCAGCTTGTTCCCAGCAGAAAATGGATCCCTAAGTCTTAAAACCTACAGTGTTGTTTTTGTTGGTTGTACAGCACTCAGTAAGAGAAAATGAAAGCAATAAAGGCAGAATGTAACTCCATTCTCAGTAACTTTAGGAGGTGCTCCATGCAATTTTTTTTTTCTATTAGGAAAATGTGGTCTACTTTATAAACCACACAAACAGCAATGCATCAATTCACTTCCCATCTACTGTGTGTTTTGGGGTCTTCTGGGTAGTAACAGGTTGGAGCTTGCTGTGCCCTTACTAAACTGTGAAGGTTATTTCTCTTTAAGGATCCATCATCAGCGAACCCTTTGCTTCCTCTCCACAAATGTGTCTCTTCCAGAGCCTTTTGCAATTATGGCTCATTTCTCTAGGTTTCATATGGCAGGCGTCTGAGCAGAATTAAAAACATAAGCACGTGCAAAAATAATCTGCTTCCCAAGATAGTAAATGCTGAGAAGTTCTATATTAGAACACACTGTGAATGCTGACTGGCTGGGGCATGATTAACCTAATAGGCTTAAAGTTCCACTTGCCATGCACATCTGTTAGGACATGAGCAACACTCAGAGGCCCGTAATCCACAAGACTGAAGTCCTTTAGAATTGCCTTGTTGCTCACTAGCAGCAGAGGGCTCAAACCTTAGAACATCACCAGGACAGCAGCATTACTACCTCTGCAAGATGGGGCCAAGGAAGTGAAGAGAGCTGTTGCAAGTTTAGGACATTGCACCTTGGACTTCAAAGGATTCTGGCTTGCAGATTGCCTGGATGAACTAGTAAGACTGCCTTCTGTTCCTATTTTGAATACGATTCTCTGAAAATTGTGAGGGTTGCAGGTGGGAGATGACGACAGGCTGACATCATGGGATGTACACCTTCCCACAGTGATCTTGTTAACAGTGTTGCCAAGAGTGGCATCCAGTTTTTTAAAAACCCCAAAGCAATTCTGCCAGGACATCAGAGGGCCAGTGAAAGAGGCTCCCTCCCTTTGCTGGTTCAAAGTTCCACCTGCTATGACCCAGGAGGGGGCTCGTCCCAGGCACAGCAGGCAGAAGAAGAACAGCCTAGTCCCAGGTGGACCCAGACTGTGGCTGACAGTCTCTGTCAGCTCACCAGGGATCCCACTGCAGGCAAAGCAAAAGATATGGAGAGACTGATCCCAAAAACCAAAACCTCCCCATCCCAACTGAACAAATCACAAAGCTGCATGGCTACGGACATTCCCTTCAAGAGACAGAGCTCCCGTGGGTCACAAGGGGCAGCCTTTTCCGAGGAAGAGAGTGAAGAAAGTAACACCCAGGAGACTTCCAAATGGGCAAAGAGACCAAAATGTCACAGGTCGAGCAAACAGGGCCATTACCACCAAACCATCCTTCCCGCCCACGAGTCTAAAGACAAGGTGGACTTCCCTGAGCCCCTGGTGAAGGCCCACCAGCGCACTTACACCTATCTGCATGCCTGCCTCTCTAAATATGAAGCAGTTCTGAGCATCATCCATCGGGCCACCCAGACCCACGAGCTGCTGCAGCCCATGGTCAGCTTCCTGATGCTGTGTTTCGACGAGGTCAACCAGCTCTTGGGAGAGATCTCCAAGGATGGGGAAGAGCTCCTCCAGGAGGTTCGGGAGGATCTGGCTTGGCCGTTGAAGAAAGGAGAGCCCCAGGAGCAGCCAGATCTCCTGCAGCAGCTTCTGCAGTACACAGTCAGCAAGCTACAGGAGCTCAGCCGCACGGCGGCCTTGCTCACCAGCAGCCTCCTGGAGGGCTCTGGCAGCTACCTCCACGCCACTGCAGGCCACCTGGAGAACAAGCTGAGCACAAAGAGAGGCGCGGATGAACGCCTCCTCAGGACTCTGGGGCACCTGGAGAGCTTGGCGAGCAGCCACAGCGACCCCGAAGCGTGGGGTCTACCCCTGTGCTCTGAGGACAGTGGCATCGGTGCGGACAGTGAGTCCCTGCAGCTGGCAGACAAGCTGAGCAAGCAAGCCAGCTGTGACTTAGTGCCGGAGGCTGCAGAGTGGAGGCCGGTGACTTCACCCACAGTGGAGGCCAGGCTGTCAGGACACACCTGGCAGCGAAGTCCATTCCGGATGGGTTTAGACGGACCCCAGGACTACCCACTCTCAAGGCCTCTCACAGCTAAGGTTCATCCAACAGTGCAGGGTGGATCAGGGAGCCCCGGGCCCTCCATTGCAGGCCCAGAAAATACTGCCTCCAGGCCTTGGGGGCTGGGCCAAAGTACTCCATGTGGTCCCCCTGGGATGGGGACTTCCGGTGAAGCACACCTTTCTAAAGGCTCTAGGTGCATGGGCACTCCATCCCTCAGTGAAGGTGAGGACAGCAGCTCAGAGGAGGAGGAGGACAAAGGGAGCTGCACGAGTCCATGTACCTGGCAGGAAAACGCTTCCCATCCAAGGCCACGGTCTTCACCTGCCAGTGCCGAAAGCCCATTTCAGCCACACCCCCGGAGGCTCAGGAGCCCCCAGGCCCGGGAAATGGTTCTGAAGATGAAGGAAGCGATCAGTGAAAGGATCAAGTTTGTTCCTGTGCCCTCTGAGCACCAGGACTGGATGGAGGAAGAGGATAGGACCACAGTGCCCCCGAGACCCAGCACAGCCAGCGGCAGCAGGAGGGCCCCCTTGAGGCAGAGGAGGTCCCAGTCCGAGGGGTGTCTAGAGAGCCACACGGAGGATCACACCCTCCAGGAGCTACGGAGGGTCCAGAGGGACCTCAGCCAGAGGCTGGAGGCATTTTACATTGCCCGATGGCAGGGGCAGAGCCAAGAGCCAGTCACGCAGCCCAGAGCTGCAATGTTGAGACCCGACAACCGCTGCCGGGTGGTCCCAAGCAGCGCCATCAGCAAGCTAAAGTCATCCCTCACCAAGAACTTCAGCATTTTGCCAAGTCAGGACAAGAGCATCCTCCAGAAGTGCTGCTCCCGCCCTGAGGGAGAACAGCCTGAGCAGGGAAAAACTGAGGAGCTCCCAAACATCATCCCACCAGGAGAGAGGGCCGGTGAGGCTCCAGGGGTCAGGGACCAGACCATCAAGAGCTGCCCCACCAGAACATCAGTCAAGAAACTCATTGAAACCTTCAGTCCCACAGAGAGTCTAAGGATGCTGGGGGATTCTCGGGACTCGGGGCCGAGCCCCTGCCCCAAGAAGTGGGGGGTCCCCACCATGCCTCCCAGATTCCCCATTTACAGAGGGCTGGCCCCGTTGTACCCAAAGCCTCGGATTTCTCCAGCAGCGGGTGGAGAATCTCTCAGAATGGGTCCAGGCTGGAGGCCCTTAGCTCCTACTTTTCCCCCTCTGCTCACAGCTGAAGCAGCCGAGAGTGAGGACCTCAACTGGGAAACAGAGGAGAACCCAGAGGATCTCCCTCCACCACCTCTGGAAATTCTGATGGACCAATCTTTCACTTCCCTGGGGCCCCCGGAGAGTGGCAAGCGGGCAGAGAGCCCCCTTGAACAGACCCACGTGCCAGGGCTGGGAGGGACTGGCTCTGCCCGGGGAACGTGGGCTTCCCCAAGGCTAAGAGCCTCCATGAGCCCCACTGACTTGCTGCCCAGCAAGAGCACCACCACCCTCACCAGGGCCCGCAGCGGAGAGCCAGGGAACAGCAAGGGCAGCTGCAATACCGGAAAGCTCGCCTTGGACTTCAACCACCCACCAGCAGCTAGCGGAAACGCAGAGGTGCAGGGCAGCAGGGCACAGAGTCAGGTACGGGCAGACAGGGCCTCAGGCTTCTCCAAGCCTCCCCGGAAGGTCATCCACTGGCTGCATTCCAGCCACACATCCGGGCAGAGCAGGATCTCAGAACCCAGCCTGAGCAGGCCAATGCGGGGACCACATTCTCCTGAGGCCCCAAGGCAGACCCAAGGCCGAAGCCCCGTGCTGGTCAGGAAGGCCTCTCCCACCAGGGCGCACTGGACGCCGAGAGTGGACAAGAGGCACTCGGGCCTGTCCTCCACTCACAGGTCTGCCCAGCCAAGTGCACCCTGTGTGCATGGATCCCCTAGCCCACCCCTCAGCCCTCCAGTGAGTCCCAGGGTGCTAAGCCCCCCAACAGTGAAGAAACGAGCTTCCCCTCCTCTCCAGCCCAAGCTGCCCAGCCCTCCCTCAGCAAGCCCACTCGCTCAGCACAAGATCTCCAGTCCCCCTACCCAGTGCACAGAAGCCGGGTCCCTGGCCTCTGGCCCCTCCCCGTCTCCCCCAGCGTCTCCCAGTCAGGGGCCCAAGGAAACACGAGATTCTGAAGACAGTCGGGCAGCCACAGCATCTGGAAACACACGTTCCATTTTCTGCCCAGCCACCTCCTCTCTGTTTGAAGCTAAACTACCACTCTCAACAGTACATCCACTCACCCGACCATCGTTGCCCGCTGAAGCTGGGGGTCCTCTTGAGACCCCCACAGAAGGCTGGAGGGGCAGCTCAGGGCCGCGAATGAGGGCGAATTCACAGCGAGGGACAACGCTGTGTGCCCTGAATCCTCAACCTTTCATCCGAAGGACAGCCTCTGACCCCCGGCCGGGCGTCCGCCTTCACCTGCCTGTCCCAGATGCCACCAGCAGTGCTTGTGAATCCCAGCATGGCCAGAGCAGGTAAGGAGAATCCTGTGGTTCAGGGAACAAAGCTGAGGGGCCCTTAGGATCATCTGGGTCAGTAGTTTTCAAACTGTGCTCCGAGAGAAGAACAAGTTAGAAAGGGGGTATCAAGATATCCGGTCTCCCAGTGTCCCAACCTGAAGCAACAATTTTTCGTCTGTTACACATTTCAGGTTCCCAAGAAAGATTTCATTGTAAGAGGCTCTGCTGTAATACCTATAAAGTTTAAAACAACCAGGTTGGTCCAGCCACACATGCCCCTCATTTCACAGGTGGGGAGATTGAGATGAAGTGACTTGGCCCCCCAAATTGAGTCACGGTTACCTGTCTGGAGCCAGCAGCTTGATTTCTCTCCTTTCTGGTTTACATCAGTAGACCCGCATCTTAGCGGGAGGTGATTTTTGGTCCCAGGACTTTCTTTAAACTCTTTAAAGTTGACACCCTCAAGGGGCCTTTGTGCATTGCATCTATTGCTTTTTACTGCATTATAGTAAAAAAAAAAAGTTGAGAGATGTCTAGAGCATTTATTAATTTTTAAAATGCCCCATTCTATGTTAACATAAATAAGGAAAAGTAACTATTTTTTCCACAACAAAAATAAACTGAGTGAGTAGAGTGACACTGTCTTTTAGTTTTGCAAACCTCTGAAGTTTTGCAAACCTCTTTAGTGTGTGGGCTTCACAGAAAGACAGCTGGGTTCTCAGACCTTCATCCACAGGCACTCCGTTGCGACGTCACACATCCTGTAGTCTGGAAAACTCCACTCTGCATTCATGAAAGAATGAATGGGAAAGGCACAAAACATCTTAATATTATGATGGATACAGTTTTGACAACTTGGACACAGCACCTTCCTCGAAAAGGTCTGGGAGGCAGCCAGGGGACACGCTTTAAGAACGGCTGATCCTGGAGGTATTGAGTATAAAAGTTTAGCTTCCTCTTACTCCTGAGATTCCCCAAGCCTGCCTCCTTCTCCATCTCCCCTTTCAGACTGCGTAGAGGAGGAACAAGGCTTTCCATGAGCACCGATCACGAGAACGCAGGCAGAAGGGGCCCCCTGCCTGCCCTGGGCCAGCTGAGTTCCAAGTGTGCCTTTCTCATGAAGGGCGGCTGAGGGGCATGTTCTCGGCCCAGACACGCAGACAAGTCTGGGCAGGCAGCTGTGAGAGGACATGACTCAAAGTATAGCCACTGCCTGGCCGTTGAAAGGACTCATATGGTGGTGTGGTTATTTTACAGGATATACAGGGACATGTATCTTTCCTTGAATTGTAGCTTGGGGAGAAACATGTACATCTGAGGTCGGTTAAAGAGGAACTCTTATCAATGTGTCTTGATATCAAATCAGACAAAGCTCAGCCCGCACCAGTCCTTGCTATCTTTTCAGTGACCACAGTTGTGTAAATCAGAAGTTAATTTCTGCCAGAGTGATACGTGTTACAGACTTCACAGTCTGTCGAGGCATAAATGGTAATTTTTCACAAAGTACTCGGCAGTCAATTTTAAACAAAGATATTATCTCGGGAAAGTTGTGCGTGATTATAGTTATATAAATTTCCCCGGTCACTTGAAAGAAATGAAATATTGATTATTTTTGCACGAATCTTAATGTAACGTTGCTCTTTTCTTAAATCTAAAATGAGGTTTCTACAACACAGTGCCTTTCATCTGAGAACCTCTATAAATGTTAATGCATTATTCCTCACACTCGCTACTTACTCAGTTATTAGATTTCTAAAACTGTGCCCTTCAGGAGAAGAGCTTGAGAGAACAGAGACAATAAAATGGCATTAATTAAAAACACTAACATTTTAAAACAGCAGGAGCAATAATAAAGTAACATAAAATTGTTCAAGGAGAAAATACTGCCATTCTCTCAGGCTTCTCCTCAGAATAGGGCAGCCTAAAAGGTTGTTTGACGTCCTGAATTTCAATATGCAGAGAGATGGGGCGAGGTGGGGAGTGATTGTAGCTTGAAAGAGGGAGGAAGAGGAGGATGCATAAACAGGAGCCTTCCCAAGGTCATGTGGAAGGTCACAGAGTGACTCACACCTATTCCTGTCTCCTGGTCAGACCACACCTCCAGGCTCTTCCAGACTGTGAGACTGTGAGCATGTGCTGGAAGTAGTGGGAAAACGCTCATTCCCCAGACACCCCCTACACTCCTCGCCCAACCCTTGTAAAGTTGGCATCTGGGAGCAAAAGCCGACCAGCTCTAAGAGCAGGACGTTTGCAGCTCTGTAGCAGACAAGCATTTTTTCTGCCATCCTGGGTATGGGAAACAATGCCAGGGAACTGATCCCCAAGATCATGCAACAAGTCAATGCCAGAAAGCCAGGAACTGCTCAGAACAGGCTGTTTCCCCAAGCAAGGACTTGCAGGAGCAGCCCCACCCATAGTATCTTGCAGCCAAGGCAGGCTTGCAGGACGCACTGGCCTGCATCTGGTGTTGATCTCCCATCTGTCATCCTGTGCTAGGCATGAGCCCCTTTTTTAGAAAACATGATGGTGTTGATACCTCCCCATCTCGGGGCCCGGGGATTGGGCACAGTCCTTGGAGGCTTCCCCAGGAAGCTCAGTTACTGAGCCTCAACTGTTATTTACATATTGAATCCCCTGGTGGAGGCAGCTGTCTCTCTCCAGGTCTCAGTGTGTCCAGACTTGCTCCCTTAAATGCAAACGCGGTGCTTTTACTCTCTGCCAGGACAGGACTAGCCAGGCAGGGACTCTCAGCAGACATGTTTCCTGGATCCGGAGACCCAGGCAGCCTGCTTCCCCATCAGGTCTGGGAACAGGTGGAACCACAGCCATACAGCAACTGAAAAAAATCAACCTCCTGGCCTGAACCTCATGAACATGTAGCACCTGGCTGGGGGTGGGGAAGACACAATTCTGGAACCAAATCTTGTGTCAGACCTCAGTGTCAACATCTACAGATGCTGGGTACCACAACCTGTCCCCTGGACCTGCCCCTCCTGTTCCTGGTAGCTGATCCAGTCCATGGGCAGCAAAGGGTCATGCCTCCCCCTGCTCAAAGGGGCACCGGGAAAACAAACAGTAAGGTGGGAGCTGTTACCCACACATCACTGGGTCCTGCAAGGACTCGTGGTGGGGCCAGAGGCTGACGTAGATAAGACTGGCTCTAAGGAACAGAGTGGGTTCCTCACTGCCTGAAAATCATGTCAGCCAATGTCAGTGCCCATTCCCCCAACCCTCATTCCTGCCACTCTGATCTTGTCAGGATCCAAACTTGTCTTCTGCTGGTTGGATATCCCACGTAAGTCTAAGGATGCAGAGCTGAGCACACTCATAATACAGTCAAGAAGGCCCTGTTGTAGGCAGAGAGAAGGGCTTCTGGTCTGTGCACATGCAGAGCTGGGTCTCGTCCCGGCCCTGGGGTAGCTGATGGAGAGGCTCAGAGCCTCAGGTGCCATGTGACAGAGCGGTCCTTCAGGTCCCGTGTGGGTGTAAACTTCTGGTCATGCTACAAAAGAGCACCAGTGACAGCTGACTACTTATTGGGTGCCTGTGATGTGCTGGGTGGTGTGCAGAGAGTTTTCAATGCTTCATCCAATATTGAAACCTTTGAGTGTCCTGTGAGATGGGCATCAATACTACCTCCTTTTGACAAAGAAGGAAACTGAGAACCAAGGCGATTAATCAACACACTCCAGGTCACACAGCTAGTAAGTGGAAGGGCCAGCGCGTGAAACTAGACAGCCGACTCCACCTTCCATGTGGTTGTTGCGGGACTAGCCTGGCTGCCCGTGGCCAGGGTGGCTCTCTGAGTTGGCTCCCCATCTGGCCTAGGCTTGCTCCGTGCTTGGGACCACCCTCCGTTCTGTGCCGCCAGAGCACACTGGGTGGCCCTCTGTGTTCAGAGCTCCCTCACTGTGGCACTCAGCAGCTGGGAAGCTCTGTTTTAGTCAAAGGCCAGGTCTGGGCCAAGCAGTTTTCATTTTATTCCATTCAGGAAAAGGGTGGCAGCGGAGCAAAGCCGGGTTGTTTTTGCATTTGTTTTATTTTAGCTTTTGCTGTTATCGTTGGTATCGCTTTTATTTTTAATTCAACTAGCTAAGCCTAGCCCTTTATGAAATAAGAAGTGGTGGTTCAGATGGTAGAGAATCTGCCTGTGATGCAAGAGATCCAGGTTTGATTCCTGGGTCAGGAGGATCCCCCAGAGGAGGGCATGGAAACCCACTCCAGTATTCTAACCTGGAGAATCCCATGGACAGAGGAGCCTGGCGGGTTATAGTCCATGGGGTCACAAAGAGTCAGACACAGCTGAGCAACTAACACTTTAAAACAAAACAAAATAAAAGCCCGAGTTCTTGAGGGATCTGCTTTGTTCAGAGCTGCAGGATCTGATTGTCCCAGGAAAAAAACAGGACTCAGCCTGTCCTCCGAATCGCCAGGAGCATAGCTCCCATGGTGCCCCACCAGAGGAGACACCCACAATAACAGCACCAGCAGGCAAACCTGATACAGAAAGGCAGGGGCCTGGCACAAGGGTCCACCAGGTCTGTGGGCAACACAGACAGGAGGGCTGGAGAGAGACAGAATGGGGAGGGGGCGGGGCCAGAAGCCATGAGGAGGGTTTGACTGGCACCTGTGCTTTCTCTCTGCAGCGGCAGCGAGGAGAGCCCCGAGGACCCAGGGCCATGGAACAGCCCCTGTGGCCTAGAACTGAAGGGCAGCGGCAGGGGTGCGCCATGCCCAGAGCTCTGTGTGCTGGGCCACGGGCTGCAGCGAGAGACCAGCGCGGGCCATGCCCAGGACAAGTCCCAGCAGAAGGAAGTCACCTGACGGGCTGCCAGCTGAGTGACACTGATGTCAGTCACCCCAGAAAGCAAGGGTAACAGCCAAGCGTCAGCCCCAGAGAGGGTAGGCCAACCAGACTCCTGCTGAGATGCAGGAAAGGCCTGGAAGGGGCACTGCCCGAGGGGTCTGCTAAATTCTGAACAACTACTGTGTGCAGCCCTGGGTCCTGGTTTGCCTCAAGGGTCGAAGATTAACTATCAATATGGACTCCACAATGACACTCTTTAATCCTTTAAGTATTGGCCTTAATTTAACAGGAAAATGTATTTCCAGCATGCTTGATGAGCCAGGTGTTCATGAAACCATCTAATTCTCTCAACAATGAAGGAAGCAAACAGCATTCTCCTAGTTTTGCAGCAAGAAAACCAAAGTACCCCCATGCCTACTCACCCCCCAAGTGTCTTGTCTGAGCTCACCCAGCTAGGAAGAGAACAGGAAAACTTGCACAGGTGTGCCTGGCACTAGAATCTATTATCTTTCATTACTTTTTTTTTAAACATTCCATTGCCCTTGACTATCCCATCATTCCATTTGCCTAAAGCGTGCACCTACTCGTACAAACAGAAAGCTTTTTTCAGGTTTAAAAAGTGGCACGGCATTCAAGTGCCCAATATGAGCTCTGTTGAGAAACTGATTGCTCCAGAGATAAGAAGCCTGAGGTAAGATTAAGACACATAGCTCCACCTACCCTCCTTCTGCTTCCCCAGCTCAACTCCAAAGCCCTGAAAGCAAAGCCTCCAGCCCATTGGTGCAGTCCTGTTGCCTTTCCAGCTAAGCGTGTCTCAGATGCTCTGTCCTACGCACCCACAGGCCTCTCTCTCAGACTGAGTGGGGACAACCAAGCCTCTCAAACAAAGCAGCCTTTTCTCTGTGCCCCATGGGGACTGAAGCACAGAAGGACGTGTGGGTAAGGGGTGCGAATGTACACACACACACACACACACACACACAGCCAATCTCCCACAGGGGTTTCTCGGCCAACTTTATTCCCAGTCATCTGCAGACCTTCTGCTGGAGTTGAAATTGAAGTGAAGAGCCATCGTTCATGCCAAAACCCTGCTTCTGCCAATTGAGCTAGATATTTGCGGCAGCTTTTGGAATTTTTCCACTGGAGGCTGTGGCGTGCTTTCTATTTAGAAAAGAATTTGCAGTAATTGGGTGATTCAGTGCCAGCACAGTGAGTTGTCAAAAGACAAGAGTTCTCACCCACAGGGTGCAGCAAAGGGGCAATCCTCCACCCTTGCTGCAAAGCTGACTTTTTAAGTTTGGAAAAAATTAAAGTCTTCAAGCCCTGTCTTGTTGAAGTGGATCATGACTCAAAAACACATTAAACTGGGTCCTGAGAATTCAGCTACCACCCCCACGGACAGGCTGAAACTCTGAATAAGGGAATCCCTCCTTGACCTGTCCAGATACTCAGAGGTGACAGGGACCATCTCTTCCAAGGCATCCAAGGAAGTGTTGGTTAGACTACCACAAGGGGCCACAACTTGCCCCTCTATGGGGAAATGTCTGTGAACGCCCACTGTGAGATTGTGTTTGCTGTGTATCTGCTCTAATCCTCAGAGCAGAACTCAGGCCACTGTGGGGTGGAATCACACCCCAGGCAGGAGGGTGGACCCTGGGAACTGCCTAGGCTGCAGGAAACCATGGAAGTTTAAAGCCACCCAAGCAGGCAGGACCTGGGTAAGTGTGTGAGAGCAGCCAGCTTCAGGGAACTTGTTTGAGGTAGGGATAAAACTTGTTCAGGCCATCTCCCTGCATGGTTAGGCTGGCAGCATGCTGCCAAGGGCTGGGCCCCATAGGCAAGCTTTCAGGAAGCAAGCAGTACGGAACCATCCAGCCTAGAGGTAAGAACTGGTCAGAAGGGGTTCTGCCCTGTGAGAGGCTTCAAGGCCAGCTTCCTGGAGGTCTGAAGAAACAGCACAGAACCCCAGCTTCCAGGAGATGAGACAGGGACCCCGCTGATGAGACTGGATGCTACGTGGGGTCATAACCCCAGCAATGACAAGTCTAGTGATAGGATGAGAATGGGGAACCAGGCCTGAAAGAATGGAAAGTGAGGCTGATTTCCAGCCCAGACCCTGCCACCCCCACCCACCCCCCACCCCGCAAAGGGCTTATCCTAGAGGTTTGGGGCTGGTTTGAGTGTGGGGGGGTGGTGCGAAATGGGCTGAGTGTACCCAGCTGCAGTGATATGAGGAAAAATGGGCAGCTAGGAGCCAGGCAGCATATTATATAATGGAGGAGGCTCAGTATCAGAGAGAATGCCCTGGAAAGGTCTGGAATGAACCACTGCTGCCTTCATGAGGGTGCCTGGCAGGAGGTTCTGTAAGAGGAGAGCCCCACCCCCATGAAAGCTAGGCTGGTAAAATAACAGCCAACACCCACCCCTCCTGTCTGTACTGCAGGCAGCAGGGGAGGGATCCAGGGCACCCCAGATTACTGCCATCAGCAGTGAAGCAGCTGATGAGTCCCCTACCCCCCCCACCTCCACTGAACACCTGCTGCTCCAGGACAGGGCCAGGCTACCACCATATATTCCCATATGTCATGTAATGAGAGACCTAGAAACCTCTAGGCCCAGGCAGCAGGGGCAATGAGCTAGTAAAGCCATCAAGATGCCCAAGGACCCAAAGGCTTCAAAAATCCCAAGTCATCTTCTGTAAGAGTGGCAAAGAGGAGGGGTTGCTGAAGCCAAAGAGCTGGGAGGCAGTAAAGGTCTAAGATGAAGCAGTGCCAAGCTAGCCCAGGGACAGATGAGCCAAAGAAGTGTTTCGGGGCCACTATCCCAACCACGGGTTTCCCTTGTGGCTCAGAATCCTGGTAAAGAATCCTCCTACAATGTGGGAGACTCTGGTTCAACCCCTGGTTTGGGAAGATCCCCTAGAGAAGGGAACAGCTACCCACTCCAGTATTCTGGTCTGGAGAATTCCATGGACCGTAGAGTCTATGGGGTCACCAAGAGTCAGATATAACTGAGCGACTTTCACTCACTTTCCACTCACTCATCCCAACTACTGCACTCAGACCAAATTAAATTCTGAATTAAACTCTATAAAAATAAATTAAATCCACCCCATTGAACCACTTGCGTGAAAATCCATTATTTCACCCTTCCTGTGGCCAGGCCTTTCCTCAAACCTGTCTTTGGCTCTGCCTTGGAAAAAACTCACTGTTGGTGGCCATGTGGGGCAAGCCCAGCTCTAGAGCTTCTCAGATGGGTCACTCTTACCCGCCTTCCCCCTGTGCCTAAGACCCTCATCCATGTTGGATCCAACCTACTTTCTGTACTCTAGGGGAAGGGAGAGCAGAGATTTTTTTGTTTTGTTTTGTCTTGTTGAATTAATTAAGCCAATGGACCCAATCCGTTAAAGACATGATTCTGTTATTTTTCTTCATAGTTAGAAACCAAGAAGGAATGTTGAGTATAAAGGCAAAAGCAAGCCTACATAGGAGATTCATTTAAGGGGTGCATATCATACCCAGATTCTTCTTGGGGCCAACTCCTTTTCTTCTTGGGGGATGGCACGGCCATCCTCCATGCCCATGGGGATCCCAGAGCTGCGGAGAGGGAGGTGTTCAGCCCCCTCTTTATCCAACTCATTAGTAACATAGCAAAGAGTTCTGCCCCAAGGGAGAACCACAGTTTTCTAGTTCTGCCAAAAGGATTCATGGAGTAAAAAAAGAAAATATAATATTTAAGTGGAATAGTGATAGCTTTTTGCAAATATAAAAAACAATCTTCAGAATGAAATATAACTTCCTTCCATAGCTTGGGTCTGTGTGGTTCTTTACTGTAAGCATGATCTATGTTCCTTCCTTGCATCATATACCCGGTCCAGAATCTAAAATAACCCATGTTGATAGAAAATTCAGGGCAGACACAGACCAAAGAGACTTTACTTTCATTGTGAAGAGCTTACGTTTGACAAGACTTGCCTCATAAACCCTACAACGTGAATGAAAGGGATTTTGAGAAATATATTCTTTTTTCCTAAAATAACCCAGTATTTTTGTAGGTATCAGGGGAGCTGGTGCCATGAATTATTAAGGGTCAATATGCTTGTCAATTAATCATCTGGTTGACTGTATACAGGCTGCCAACACCCACTCTATCTGCCAAAGCAAACTTATCAAAGGTAATATATTTTTAAGTAGCCCCACATCAAAGTCTGTTGAACTGCCATAAAGTAAATGTGTTTCAAGCCCATATTAACAGAACATGTTATACTGCACTATGGTTTCCTCCTTGTACTACCAGAAGTTTAAATAAAGTTCCATCAATCCATTCAGACAGTTTTATGAAATGTAATTAAAGATGCATCGCACACGCAAAGGAGCAAACAGTTAATTCACTCGGGACTCTAATTCAATTTTATGGAGGACCCTGGATGCTGCTGGCTTGATTACACTCCTGGACTTCAGAAAGTAACTTTACAATAGTCTGTGGGGCCCTGCATCAGATGACTGAAGAAGTTGACCAACCTTGTAGTCTGGGTTCCAAATGCTGTAATTTCAGACATCCTTGAAGTCTGGCACCCAAGGCAACAATCCGACTGGAATGCAGTAATGCTAAGGACTGAGGTAATGCCCCTAGACAAACCAGATGGGCCTGAAGTGAAGGAAGCAGAACAAAACAGAAGCAGAAGGAGAAAGAAGGGAGGACGTGGTGAATGTGATCATTGCCCTGGGAGGCAAACTCTCCCACTCCTCCTGGTTAGGCAGGAGACCTGACACCTCTGTTGACTCGCCCGGTGACCTGGCTTTACAGGCTCATTACTTCATCTACCAGGCCGTAATAACAATGCTAATCAACTAATCCTGCCATCTGTAAGACATGAGCAAACCTGCCTTTTCTAAACCATCTTTCGGAGCTATTGGGGGGGGGGGGGGGACTGAAGTCATAATCCCTCTGTCATCTTTGTTTTTAGTGTTCAGTTCTGCTGTCTCTGCATGCTAAGATTCTGATTAAGAAAAGAACT